TGCTGATTTTGGATTTTATTCCATCTTCTATCCGGCTGTTGAATATAAAGGTTGATTTTTGTGTGAGTGTTTCTGCCTATTGGTACTCACCAACAGGACAAATCAATATGTCTGAACCGATCTGTTGCCATTTTTAGATGTTCAACATGAATGTTGCAAAAATACATCCAGTGCTACAATGGTACATTTAATTTAGATTTCCAAAGGACTTCAGCATGTCATCCTGCATGGGCCCAATATAATAGTAACTCCTGTCACACTGTACAATAGAGGAGGCCTGACTGCACTACCTGCTGCTTCAGCAAAATCATGTCAGGCAAACCTAACGGAAATTTCAGTCAAACAAAAAGCAGACACTAATGTAGGGCTTCTAATTCCCTCGTTATTGGGCTTAAAAAGAGGGAATGAAGAATGATTGAAAGACTCCTGGCTGGGCTGGTCACAGAGGCTGCACTGCATGTTTTTTTTTCTTTTCCAGAAAAGTTTTGGCACAGTTTGACATTTGTAGTTGGTCATCTTTGGTCACGAAGAAAATCAGTAGTCGATACATCTGTCATAATCACAGACAGGCTCAAAAGCAGAATGAAAATAATTTTCTTTAACGCCAAAAGGCTTTAGATTGAATAAAACCAACCCAGTGTGAACTCTGCATAAATTAAAGCATATTCATTTGTTAAGAAAAACCCTGTCAAAGTCCAGACTAAGGCAAGGCCTGCAAATAAATGTTCTCAAAAGCTATTTGAATCTGAATGAGCTTGAGCTGTTTTTGAAAGAAAAATGGTAAACAAGAAAAAAAAATAGATTGGCTAGGCTTGTTGATGCATATTGAAGGACTTGCCTTTGTAGATGGATGGGGGGTGGGGAGGTTGTGTAACACAAACACATTTTTATTTTGCAAAGATAAAAGATGACCTTTAATTACTTTCCAATCTCATCATTATTACTTGGCACAGTCCTCTGTTGTGGAAAATTAAATCTATAGGATGTATTAAGGTCTGCAGTTATAATATAACACAATATGAAAAGGGTGTAAATACTTTAAGTAGCCCTACCCCTAAAAGTTCTTTTTTTTTTCATCAGATTGTCAAATATTCCAAGATGTTGTTTCTATAGAAACCTTCAAGTTAGCCATTGTGGGTTATCCAGGGCTTTTTAAGGGCAGAAACCAGACAGGAAAGTCCTCCAGCCCCCGTAAACTCCAAATCGCACCACATGTGGTTATAGATCCAGTTTATTTAGTCCTTATTGACTTTGACAAATGCAACAAACACAAAGGTTCTTCTCTATAATCCCACTCTTCCTTTATCTTTTAGTTATAAAAAAACCTCTGCCGTCCTGCTGCTCTGGAAGGTCATTATGTTTTAGTTGCAGGCTGATGCACCAGCCTGCAATCTTAACCTTTTTTTTCTCCCCTCACTTTTGTCTAAAATAGCCTCTTGTATGCTTGTTTTCAGATTGCTGGCACCACTGGTCACATTTCTGCTGTAAATGTGAGCCACATAAATGTGATGTTTTAAATTAGACTGGCTGCAACAACCTTTTGGCTAAGAGATAACATCAGCTTTTCATTTGCTTGGTGTTGTCTCATAATTCATCCCAGTTATTGCCTGAATTTGATTTCAGCGTTCCTTCGCCAACTGCAGCATGTAGTTTACTCTTTATTAAGCAGGATAAAATTGTCCAATCAGATATTGGGTTCTGTGGATATTTTGCTTTGAGCACAAACACATCAGCTTGTAAATAGAATAATGGTTAAATGAAAAATACCAATATTGAAGGTGGCTAGTTTGTTAATGTGTTAATTCATTGAACAGTACATTTAATGAGGTTTATTTATATGCGGTCCTGTTAGAAAAACAAACAATGATATATTCTACTGGGATTTTATACGACAGAACAAAACTGAGTTGTACCCAGTAGTGAGCAAAGTGGCTGAAGCTTCCTTTACCTTAATACCCTCAAATACATTTATTTTTAATTTTGACAAACTGAATTAAGAAGCTAAGTAATAATTAAACCTTTAATTTCTCACGGCAACATAAGGAGGCAGCATTATTCCTACTTAGGCTTCACAGTTCTTGGAAACCATACAAAGAAATGTTTTGCACAGATAGTCTGTCAAAACCAAGCTGCAAAAATGTAAACAAAAATAGCTGCAACAACAGAATTATGTTATCTTCTTTCTGCATCTTTGAAAGTGAGACCAGTTCCTGTTTTTGCAGATTATGTATTGACTTAAAAATATTTTATATTTACAGGGGAAGAAAATCGTTGGTCCCAAATATACTAAATTAAGTGTTCCCAAAAGGTGCAGGATTTAAAAGAAATGTTCCCATCCTTTAAGTAAAACACCTGCCTCACATTGCTGTATAGAATTACAAAAAGCTCTTTCCTTAACATGGATTAATTGATATTAATGATTCAAATTAAAGCAGGTTGTGCGCTGCTGAGGAGTTCTAAAATGTCTTTTTAAATCCTTGTAAAGAATGCGCCTCAAAGTTCTCCAGATCACTGCAGCGGGTGTATTTTTGACCCCGGACTGAAAAGGCTCTGACGTGGCCACGCCTGCAGATCTGCAGTTAAGTCTGTATTTGGTGACAAAAGCTGTTTAAGGAGCTTGGAGAAAGTAAAGTGGTGCTCAGCTCATTATCCAATTGAAAGGTCCTCAGATGCCTCCAGCATCGAAGCAGACGCAAAAATACTCTCTCCCTCATAAAAGTCAGAATGTTTCATATTTGATTAAATTGTTCTCTTGGAAATATCGATGGTTTTTAGAGAACTAAGGTGGAAACTATAAGATGAAGGAGTAAATCTTATTTAGTTATCTAATTTTGCTGCATTACCTTTTAAGGAAATATATTATAAAAACAAATGATAAAAAATTAGATAAGCATTAGTTTGCCTATCTATCCTAATTTTTGCAGCTTTTGCAATTTTCTGCTACTATCTCTACTGGGATATTTCCTACAACTTGGCTTCAGTTCGTATCCGCCTAAAGGAATTTCTGTATATTTTTTGGTTATTTATCAATAAAGTAATCGTCTACAATATACTAATCCTCAGCTGTGACTAAATGAGGTCACGTGACTCCAATAAATAATGTCTACCACTTGGAGGTTGCTCAGAGTTATTTTAGTTAGATCAGGGTCATAATCTGTAATGTTCCGGTGGTTCAGAACCTGCAGCACTTCCAAGCATTAAAAACAAACACTTTGTACTTTAAACTTTATAGCTGTAACTTAAGATAAGATATTTTAAGACATGAGACATGAAGACATTTTTAAGGATTAACCTGTCTCTTTCATGATAAGCCACATAGATTATTTACTGACTTTTTTTTTTTTTTTTTTTTACTTTAAATGGTTATTTACAGTATTTCTACAAACTCTATTTTTTAGGGCTATTAAGCTGTTTCAAAGAAATGCTCCATTGTTGGAATACAGTTAGACATGCAGATCAGATTTTTGAATCTTTCAGGAGATGATTTAACTCAGTAATTCATTTGTGCAAATTGGGCTTTACTTAGTTCTTCATTATTTTTGTAATGGCCTAATGCCAAATAGGTTGATAAACCGCGAGAATTGATTAGAAATTAATTTATTAAAAAAAAAATAGAACCAATAACATTAAAGCTTTTTACTTTCAGCCTAAAACCGCCTTTATTTTACATTTTGCCAGCTTTATAATAGCAGATGGCATCTATTAGTGTCCACCCAGCTAGCCTTCTTAGCATTACAAAAGGAGAATTTCCCACACCTAGTACAAGTCAACAGGACATGTTTTTTTAGTATTTTTTTTAAGTGAGATACGAGAGCCATCCTTAGGTTTGTTCCTTTTTACACCGAAAGCTGGTTTAATTGCATGCGATCCAGCTGCTGCTTTTGATCCATATTTTCATGATCTTGGTCTAATATAGCGTTACAGTATGTAATCTTTGTCGTCACAATTTACAGCTGTAGCTTTGTGATCTCAGCCTCAGTCCTGACATGCCCAAAACCGACTGCTATCCATTTGTGATCCTGACCCGGCATAGACTACATACTACAGGGTTTGTCCAGACATTGGGCTTAAAGGCATCACAAAGATGCTTTATGATGCTTTATGGCCTAGTAATGTCCACATGCTGCTCCGCCTTCAACGTATTGAGCAATACACTTAAAGGGTTAAGTCTTTACAAAAGCTGGGACTCACTGCTTCTTAGTTCTTGAAGAAAAAGTGCCATTTGAAAACAGTTTTTCAAGCATAATTAATTTTAAGTGAGACCAGGATGGAGCATTTAGCAGGATGTTGTGAAATCAGTTCTTTAATTTTGCACTGAGTGCAATGGATAAACATAGTATGTTGGATGAATAATGTATATTGGTCTAGATAACAGATAATTGACAGTTTTACCAGTGTAGTTGGGTACAGCTGATGTGAAAGGAAAAGTATAAATCTGGGCATGAGATATTTACATGCTTGAATTTCAGGAATCACACGGATTATCAAACATCTCTCTGTATAAAATGGTAAAAAAAAAGGAAATAAGGAGGTAATTAAAAATATTAACCTTATCCATGCTCCGTTCCACACCTCAAGGTTACCCAGTAATGCTGTTTTTTCTTTGTGTTCATGGGAAATCTGTCTCTTACACTTTTTGTGGTCTTTGTTTATTAGCTTAATCTTGTGAAACAATCTGGTGACTCGCTGCCTTATAAAAAGGATGACTTGGTATGTTTATTGGTAGACTTTGGCTTTAATAGCCTGCCATGTCAGCGTAAGATTGGGTTGGTTCATCCTTGGGCGCAGCTGTGAGGAGGATGTGTGAAATGAATTGCCTCCCCAGTCAGCTTTGCTCCACCTTGCAGGCTGGAGATTGGTGGCGGTGGGAGTAACAGCATCTGTGATTGGCGGGCATCCTCAGCCATTCATCTCATCATTAGGTGGCTGTCTCCTTTGTTGTAAACCAGGAGGGGGATTCATTGCGCAGCAAGCTGTGTTATTGTGTGTGGTGGTCTGGGACGGGCTTACTCAGGGTTATCAGGAGGCTGTTTAGGGTTCAGCTCAGTGCTCAGATCAGAGTGTCTATTTAAAACCACCTCCTCCCTCCCTTGAATGATTCAACAGCAGTATGCCCCTCCCCCCTCCACAGCTCCCATCAAGATCAGCTGGAGGAAGTGGTGGCTCAGCCAATGAGATTACAGTGGTAGACCTACACTGTTTGTTCCTGTGTGTTTTTCTAGAGCTGAAGGGAGGACAAGCCTGGACACACAGCAGCAGCAGATCCGTATTTATGTGTTTGAAAAAAAAAATGTAGGGCAGCAGCTTGCTCTGTTTCTGCCTGCTGCATCTCTCTTCCTATCTTACTCCACTCCTTTGTTTCTGCTCAGTGACGGCTGACGCTGTTGTCGCAGCTCTACTTCCGTATATTCAAGGCTTGGCTCTCTTGGTTTCTCTGGAATCTACTGTTTCGATCTGGATTCACCTCAAGGATTTACAGAAGGGGCATGTAAGACCCCTGATCGGCAATCATCTGTGTGAGAGTGTGTGTGTTGCTGTATGTGGGTGGGTGTGAGAGTCGGGTGACTCAAAGATCCAGCAATGCATTCCTGTTGGAAAATGAAGATTCAGGTAATTATTGTTGTTTTTATTGCTGTTGTTTCTGTTTCTGATCCTTATTGTTATTTTGTTCTTCATGTTAAAATGTGTGATGTTTAGAGGTGGTGAATGCTTATTGGGATTTTCTTTCTCTGGTTTTTATGTAGAGGCCTTCAGTCTCTATGGAAAACACAAAGCCTTTGGATGCATTGTTATTCTTTGTATATGTCAGTTTATGTCAGAGAGGAGCTAATTAAGAGTCCAAGTCTGTGACCAGAGATGGCCCATCTGCTCCTTTGTGGTGGTGTAGGTGCGTTGTTTGCTTCCCTAGTCTAGATTTTTTATGCACATTCATTGCAGAGGAGGTTTGTTTGTACAGTCTAAGAAGCATATGCATCCTCTTTAATGTGAAAGGTTGACCCACTTTCTGCTTGCTGCCCATTGTTCAGAATGAGAGGGGGTTTACATCTTACAGCTTCATGTCCAGTGTAAAACATCACAAAAATACAGCTTTAAAATTCAGTAAACAAGAACCCACAAACCCACTCAGCCCTGCAGGAGAATGACCTGTTCATTCTCCATTTCCCTGGTGTTAAACTGTACTTATATGACAATGGATTAAGAGGCTGGAGCTCTAACTGCAAACCGATGCTCCAGACAAAACCAGTGACCTCAGTAGCAGAGCAGCCAGACATGTAAAATACTTTGTGGCTTTCACTGCACTGCTAAGCATGTCACATCATCTAGTGATGAACCAAATCGCAGAGCTTTGTTTCAAATCGGCAGCTGTTTGGCTGGGTGGATGGGGGGGATTAGTGAAGTCACATGTCGGTGCCAGAGATTAAAGCTGTTGAACATTGGAGATGAGGAAACAGCCGAAGACGAAGAGATGACACTGGGTAGCAAACTATTCCCATTTTGAAGACCACAAACTTGACTGTATTTCATAGAGAAGATGTGAACCTTCAGTATGTAAGGTACATTCTGAAAGAAAACGCTGTTTGGCTTTCAAATCTCTTTTCATGAAAATCTATAAAGTGGTGGGTATTGGAGTATTTTAAGTTTGGACTTTGACTAGGCCATTCTAATCCATCAATAGCGTATAGATGCTGCTCGGGCTGTAGTAAAATTTTCCATCAGTCTCCAGGCTTTGTTGCCTTTGACAGCTTTCGTTACAGGATTGTCTTGTTTTTGGATCCATCCATCTTCCTTTCATTCATGTGGAAACGCATTCCATACATTTCTACTGCATAATGCTGCCAGACTTACGAGTCACTGTAGGCCTGGTAATGTCGTGCTGTGTCGATTTTCTGGTCCCATATTGCTATGCTATGAAGGCCAAAGGGACAACCACTCAGGTTGTTTTCTTTGGCTAGTTTGGGCCATCACATATAAGCCCATTAAAATGCATGTAGCTTTGTTGACTAGTATCACTGAATGTTTAAAGACAAAGTATCCATTATTGCAAGGCCAATGTATTGCACCTGGATGTTTGAAGGTATGAACTGTTGACCCTCCAGGTTTACATTTGCTCTTCTGCGCTTCTTGGAGGCTATGAATATAGTAAGCACAGTAATGCAGCCATTAGTCAGATTTGTTCTGGATTGCTGATCTCTTTCTTGACTTTGTCATCCAAGTCATAATTAACAAGGGATTGAAACTGACAGTTCTGCTAATGAGGAAATGAGACTTTATTGCGGATATTGAAAACTCTTTCCACAGATCTTTGGGTGTATTTAGTCCTTTTTTTTGTACCCACCCTTCTCCCATTTCTCTCTCCTATATTTCACTTCTGCTAAAACATAATGTACACCCCTTATGAAAATTCACTCCTGATCGTCACTGTTCCTCTGATTGGTCGTTGAAGAATAGTTTAGTAATGCATTTCTGAGAGCCTTTGTGGAAAACATCTGCAATGATCTAAAGCTGACTGTCACCATCTCAACTTTACCACATCCTGTTTGGACATACTGATGTAATTATTGCGAAGATGAAGAGGGGGGGATTGTCTGTGGAAGAGATGGAACAGGAGGAGAGGAAGGTGGTAGTAGGAAAACCACAATCATACATCCTGCCAAGGATCACACAGACATTCTTATTCATGCAGAAACATCTTCTCCCAGGACTTTTTTTTATCTCAGGATGGTGTGGTTTCGTGATACCAACTGCATATGACCGCTGTAGGGCTACATATTGTAATTGTTAAAGTGGAATACCATTTCTTAGAAGAAATGATCTTTTAACAGATGTTGAGTTCCTTTATTGAGAACCAGCACCTAAACATGGGTTGCATTTCCACATTTGTCTGCAAATAGTGAATTTACAGTTTAGACATTCAAATTCCTTTCCCTTCAAGCACAGCATTTGCTATTTAAAAAAAAATGTATTTTAAGTTTTTTATTAAGTTTTAAACTTCTGAGGTCACTCAGGCTTTTCACAGTGTTGAGGTATCTCATCTGGTTCTGTTCTGCTGCTCAGCTGCAATACTGAAATTGGTCTGCATTTCCTCCTAAACTGACCGCTGGAGGACGACACAAACAGAAAGCCACAGAAAAGGTCCCTGTAGGCGCCTTTTATTCTGGATTGCTGTTATCTGTAACTTGTGCTCCATAAGGAGACAAAACTGCTGAATATCTTGTATCTCTGTGGGCATTTTTGTCCATATCAGCTGTATTTTCTAGTAAGCTGTATGTTTGTGTCAGATTTCTTTGCATGCTGATGGTTAGTAAGGGGTGACCTATTTTATTCTTTTAGATCAGACACTGAGTAAAGTCTGGTACAAATCATAAGCTTTACCCAGTTTCCCCTCTGCAGTTTGGCCCAGTTTTTTAGGGTTGTTTTCTTAACCAAAAGATTGATTTAATTTAAAATGAAGTAGATTTGTTCCCCTCACTGCAGGGGAAGCTCTGAAGGTTAGTTTCCTTTAAACAGGCCCGGCAGGAAATATGCTGACAGCATATTTAGTCACAGTTCACACCCTTCATAAGGATATTATCAGGAAACTTAGGGAAAAACAAATTCCTTTTACATAGCGAAGCATCTGAAACTTTCAAATCTGTGTGGTTAATTTTTGTCACCATTTCAGATCTCTAGATTAAATGGAGCATATTTGATCTTGGCCTTGTTATGGTTGTAGTGGACAATCAAATTTTTACTCAACATGATTTTTTGATTTGATTTTAATTTGAATGTGCAGCAGAGGATGCAAACGATTTAAGTCTAGGACAGATATTCACCTTCCGGCATGATGATTCTAAACATACAGCCTGGGCTCAGTGAGCTGCAGTGGTTTATGCCTAAATTGAATGCTGAATATGGTGTTGGCTGCATCATGCTGTTGGGAAGAAAATCTGTTGTAAATTGTGAATTAGGTAAAACTGGAATGGAGATTCACCCTACAACAGAGTAATGTGCCTAAACATCTATAGCTACAAAGGGAAATGTTCAAATCTAAGCATTGTAATGTTCTAGTAAAGCTAGTAAAGCCTAGTAAAGGTCCAATAAATACAATAAAATAAAATGCATATAGCTTGTGCTGTCTCCTCCAAACCGTTTCCTCTGATTTATCTTTATATTTTGCACCATAGATGTTCCAGCTGTCCTAGTTGATGTTGTGGATGAACTATAACTGTGTGAATTACTTTTATTAGGTTGTTTTTTTATGTTGCTTCTGTTGAATGAGGCACGGCGGCTTGAATAAGCCTCTCAAATGCAGTTATACGTTTTCTTGTCATATTTACTGACAGAACTTATTTGACAGAGTAATGAACTATGTTAACAAAAAAAAAAAAACTTTAATTGTAAATTCCTTTGACTCACACCTCATTATCACTGTCTGAGGAGAGATCCTGCCTTTGACTTTGTCTTTCTTTACTACATTCCTCCTACACCCTCCTCATCTTGTTAAGCTCTCACTTATGGAATCACGGTAAATCTGTGTCTCTATTTAGCAAAGAAAATACCACAAAACATCTCCCAGTCTGGAAAACTAGATGCTTATTATGCTGTCTGTTAGAGGTCTAGATGCAGCTTGTAGACATTCCTGCTGAACATAGTTCTCTGTTGGGATTGAGGCAATGTTTAACAAGACCTTTTTGCTGTTCAAAGTCTGTTTTTTTCCTTGGACGGTTTTAAAACAGATGCTCACTGACTTATGTATCTAAACTGCCACTCCTCCTAGCTTGATGCTTGTTGTAATATTAATAATCTGTTACAACTCCTCAAATCATATTTAAGTGGCTAAATGTTTTTGTTTTTTTTCCTGCTTTTCCTTTCATTGTACCGCAGCAACAAATGAGAAGTAACTGTTTATTCATAGTAAGAAAAGGAGGCTTCAACTGTCATATTTTCCAAGATGATCCCCATCAATCCTCGGCTCTAAAGAACAGATGAAACAAGCCTGGGCAAGTTCCAGTTCAGCCGCAAAGATACTCTAAAAAAAGTTAGTCTTGAAAACAGCAAAAGCATAAACACAGAAGCTTTGATATGTTTTTGCATCATTGGAATGTCTTTCCTCATTTATTTAAGGAAAGTCTACCTATTTTTGTGTTTATTATATAAATTGTTCCATTTTCCTTTATTCTTTATGCAATCTATTAACTTGTAACAGCTTTTTTTAAAGAAAAAAACTGTTGCTGCTGTAAGCAGGCTCAGTCTGAGACTTAGATTCTGAGAATTCTGAACACTCATGTCGTATGTAAATTATCTACAATAAAGTGACCAGAAACCCACAATATGTGCAGCAAAATTCACTTCTAAGGATCTAAATGGAGCATCAAAATTGATTGGTATAAATTGAATTTCGTCCAATTCTAATATTTGATAGGTCTTGTAAACATTCCATTTAGTTTTCATGATTAGCGATACAAATTATGTTATATTAAAATGTGTGGACTATGATTTTACTAATGCATTCAGAGTTCTGAAAAAATATTTCACATTTTGCACTTCTGCTTTAAATAAGTTTCAGTTTAGTTCATTTAAATAGCAGCAAATTGTAACACATGTCAGCTTGATGCTCCTCACTAGGTAAA